TCTCTTTTATAGGAGTAAGGATTTATTAAAAATTTAATTTTTATCCAAAATCAAACATGGGCTTAGTTGGGGTTGGATTCTGGGCTTTTCCTTGGTAGACTTGTTCTTCGTTTTTGTGTCTTCATGTTGGACCATAAAGGTCCGAAGTTATATTGGATCATCATTGCCCCATGTTGGCATCACTGCCCAACAACAAAGTGAACCAAACTGTACAAAATATTTATATCAAATATTACAACTCAAGATAAAACCAAAGACGTCTCAAATTTCAACGATTTACTGCTCGGAACATTGTACCCTTCTGTACAAATTAGAAACCTCAAATCCAAATCCTCAATGGTTCAATCTACGGTTTCTATGAACCTGAAATCATAGTCTTCTCACTCGAAAGAATCACATAGACTCACTTTTTACTCAGAAAACTACAAGAAATCATCCAACCAGATGTTTCATGATCAGATAAGATGAAAGGAATGAACCATTAACAGAGAAAATTCCAAAAAACACCAAAGAAATTAGATGGCCAAAAGTGAATCGAGGCAACATTGTAAGACCCTATTTATACTCCACACCATCACCGTTGATCTCAGATAATGATCAACCGTCCAAAGCAATTGGCGACTTCATCATTAAGTGGCAACTAAAGTTGACTTCGAAAATGCGATTTTTACCATATATTGGGCAGCTACATTTGAATTATCAAGCACTGGATCAAATACTGAAAATGGGCGAAGCCACTGATTGACATCACAGCCCAACATTAACACTACGTCAAATTATGTTTAGACACTTAGAATAACCTGTCGTTCAATTGACAAAAATAGAAACAAAAAATCAACTCTTTACTCCATCAGTTCCTATAATGAAAAAATATCACCCGTTCTTTTATTAACACTTCATCTTTAACCAGGTAATGTAAAAACTAAAACACGAATTCCTCAAAAGTGCATACTCCAAAATTCAATGTGCAATTCGGGAACCACCGTGTTCGACAGTATAACTACGTGTCCATCACCCAGCAACCATCCACCATTCTGTCGTGACCCGCATGTTATTTTATCCTCTCTGCTATTCTCATTTGCAGGTTGCTTGAGACACGGGGGAGAGGTCAAAGGTGGGTGACTTCTTTCAATCACAGTACCCACGTGTCAGTCTTTCACTTGTCAGTAACTTGCATGTGGGAGTCTATTGGCTGGTTACTTGTTGGGCTGTGACAAAGAACCTTGAGGTTTTCTGTATGCAACTCCGTGCCCCGGTTATGAACATGAATTCTTCTGTTGCGGATAAAACAGCAGTTTCTGAAAGTAATTTATCTGCTGTCGATGGCTCAGGGGTGTTTGAACCGATTATCGATGTGGATTGCTCCGTATTGGTTACATTATCTACTTGTACTGTAAAAAGCGAATAAACTGGCCTATGGTCTGAGAATTTTGATTCACCCCTAACGTAGGACATCTGCTTTAACCCTTCACCTTTCCACAAAATCCTGTCACACCTGCCATTTATTCAAGAAAAACAAAACATAAATATTTAAGAACTAATCAAACTATTAATACGGGATTTCTGGTTATACCGGTTAAGGGATAAAATCTCACATCGAATAAAGATGAAAACAAAGACCAATTTATAAGAGTTTGGATTACTCCTCTTGATAATATTGACTTTTTAAGATGGAACCACAATTCTTAACATGATATCAGAGCCCATT